AATTTCTACTTTCGCATCTATAGTAATTTATATATAGAACCGCGTCACGTTTTACTATGATCATTCTTCAGTTGACTGGAGAATCGTTAATTAAAATATTAAATGTTTGTGTTGCTAAAAAATTTTTCTTAAGACTAACATAATTAGGATTGTTTAATGCAACTAATCTGATGTATGATTTCCATATTGTAAAAAAAAATATGCCATTATAACTATTTAAACCCTTTCTAAATGTGAAATTGTTCTGTTTTGATATACATCAATTAATTCTTTTAGTTAAAATATTAAAGGTTTTAAATTTTTAATAATTTTGCTAAAAATATTAATATATGTATATTAATAACTTACTAATTACAAACAAATAAATGAAAAGTCTATAACGAATATTCACTGAAGTATCCAGATTCATAACTTAATTAAGAAAAGAAGAACAAAAAAAATAATAACTTGCTCCATCATCTTGATGGTCACAATTAATAACATCCTTTCTATATAAAATGCTATCAGCTTATTTACACAGATCTAATATTTGACTATATGTCACTATATAATATTCTAAATTAAGCAATCTTGCTCCAGAAAATAGTGTATTTCTTGCAGACTTTCGTGCATATAACAAGTCAGAGACTCAAATTACTGGACCTACTCCGAGAAAAATTGGACAAATAAAGTTTACATTATATAATGGATCATTAAAACTTTTTGTTAGTCTGATGTTTTTGGCCATTAAATGCTTTTAAGCATTAAATTCTGAAATAACATCATCAGATCCAACAAAAATGATATAGATTGAAAGTTGTCTAGCTATTTCTAGCACTTCTTCATACATTTGTAATATTTGCATTGAAGTATCATTGCCATTATTTAAAATTAATCTAATTATAACTAGTGGAAACTTCGGTAAGGGCAGTGTTATTTATCACCTGATTTTTTTTTATTAGAAGCTTACCTCCCCTTCTTATTATATGTTTTGATCAGGTTTTTATATATAATTTTAAATTTTTTATCCCCCTCCCTCCCTAAAAAATCACCTAATTTTTGTCATGTTCCTAAAGGTATCTTAATTTTTTTTTAAAAAAAAAAAATCATAAATAATAATAAAAAATAGTTGTAAATGATAGTAACAAAAAAAAGTTTTTATAAGAGAAAATCTTGAACTGAAAATGAATAACATAGTTGCACTACAAAAATTTATCAGTTCTGTGAACTCTGAGCTAGTCAGTCTCAAAATTAGGCTATAAGTTATTGTCGAACGTAACAATATTATATTAGAACATTTATTAAGAATTATTTAACCTTGTATTCTTGTATCAAACTTTTTTCACAATATTTTAATCAGATTAACACCCAACAATGATTAGCTTGAAGATTATAGGGCTAACAAATTTTTGTGGTATGACTATATTACTCACTAAAAATAATAAACTATTATTTCTAGTTCAAACTTAGTAGTACTCTATTTTTTCTCGATATTACTTAATATAAAACTTACTTGAAGCAAATATAAATGAACTTGCTTTGCAATTGCCTTATTTGCAACCATATTTTGAATAACTGTATTTACTTTATTATAATCATTAACCTGAGCTTGATTAAGTGAAAAAGTAGACCCAACAATACATCCAAGACTTGCAGAATAGCCAAGACAAAGATGAAGCTTAGTATTATCAGTCATCGCAATAACCGGCCCATTATAGTTCATAGAATCTGCCAATCTTTTGAAATGCGCTATATTTTCTAAGCATATATAGGTTACCCCTGTTAATATCAACCTATTTGAATCAGATGATTTGGTTAATATATGCGGGGTTGATAACAAAAAAGAATTAGTAATTTATATATTACGAGGCTTCAACCAATCAGAACATGCATTTTAAAAACAATTACAATATATGTACGTACATACGTATATATATACAATAATTTTTTTTTCTCTAACTAACTAATGTTTCTTTGAGTTATTTAGGTTTCGTTTGAGCATTTCAAATCTATTTCTGGGTTATATATTCAGATCGTGCTGTGAATTTTATTAAATCAGTGCATCTACTTTGATTTCAAAATATTAAATTTATCTACAATTAGATCTCTTTAAATGCACTGCGATGAGACCATATGTAACGAATTAGTCAGCATGCAGTAAAAAGCAAATGTTATATTAGCTGGGCGAAGGTATGCATTTAGAGACATTTTATAGAGTATATTTAGATAAGTTGCATTTAAGGTAATCTGAGTATATATACATTTTATTTATTCAAGGTAAAGTTATTTTACTTTATATATTATATATGTAAGCTAAAGATCATTTTTTGTATTCTAATTTCATTTTTTTTTTAGTAACATGAACACTATAATGATAAGATCAAGATTTTATTTAAAACTTTTACTTGTGAAATTGATTAGTACCTGTGGGCAAGGTTGGTAATGGAGCTCAATAGAGCTTTGAATAGAGCCAATAGATATTAGTTTTTTGAGCTTTATTCATATAACTATTGAGCTCCATTGCCAACCTAGCTGTAGGTACTTGTATGAAATCGGGCACTATATTCAAAGCATATTTATTTTGAAAGTAATAAATTAGTATAGTTGTACTCCTAGTCTTATTTAAGAAACAGACCCGGCAGGACGATAAATAATATTTAGGTTTTAATTATATAGAATACTATCGCTATAAGCAGCACTATATGCACAACTTGTAAATTGATAATTATAGTAAGTTACAAAAATGTCATTTGTTATATACTTATTACTAGTACATAATTGAATAAAAAATATTTTTAAAAAAAATTAGTTACCTTTTTTTGCTCTTTTGATTTGAATGCATTTAGGTGAATTCGTTTTAACAAACTTCACAATTGTGATAAATCCTGATCTTTTACAAATTTTACTAGTTCTTTTTGTTCTATATATTGTATTAGTAAACTACATTGTTCTAATACAACCGAATGAGTGATTTTTTTTAATTTCAACATCACTTTCTTTGTCACTACTACTGGAATCTTGCTTATAAAGGACCTCTTCAATTATAGCAGCCTCATCTAAAACAATATATTTAGTTTCAAGAGTATCATCGATTCAGATATAATCATTAGCAGACATTATATTCATATAATCAGATAGGATTTCAAAAATAAGATTTTTAACTTTAATTTCAGCTTCAATTTCAGCTTCAACTTCAGCTTCAACTTCAGCTTCAACTTCAGCTTCAACTTCGGCTTCAACTTTGGTTTCAACTTTGGATTTAACTTCTAATTCATTGTTTGATATATTTTAACTCAAGTGGTTCCACTCATTTGACAGCACTATTTTAGTCTTTCTTCAGCAATTAATGATCATTTGAGAAGCTACACTATCCCATACTTCCATAATAAATCTGAACATAGAAATATTAATATTTTATTTATTTATTTATTTATTAATTTTTTAATTTTAATTTTTTAATTTTTTTTAAAAATTTTTTTTTTACTTTTTTAAATTTATTTTTTTTTTATTTAAGAAATAAGCAAGTTAATCAATAATCGATTTTTAATACCTGATTGTATCTAAAAGGTTAATGCGAGGTATTTCCTTATTATTATTAATAGTGTTGATAGCATTCTGAAGAAATAATTTACAATAATGGGATTTAAACGAGTATATTATCTCAGCATTACAAGGTTGTAAATATGGTGTTGTATTAGGTGGCAAAAAATGAAGTTTGACATATATAAGATCACATTTTGAATGGGATGTTGCACCGTTGACTAATAAAAGAATTTTTTTTTTCTTTAGCCTGCAGATAGTATTTAGCGATTTTATCCAACATTCAAAAACTTCTCCTGTCATCCATACTTTCTGACTAGCATTATATTCAATGCCAAGATTTTTTTTTTGGACACCTTTGAAACAATATGGTTAAATGACTTTCTGATAACTAACGGTTTGAGTTTATCGGTGCTAGTTGCATTCATATAAAAAAGAATGGTCACTCTATTTTTAACTTTTTTTTGTTTTTTCACTAGTTTGGTTGCAAATGTTTGATTAGGCATCATTTTATAATTAAGATAGTAAATTATCGTAATTTTTTGTAATTTTATAGTAAGTTACAATAAATTGGTTTTCATATAATTTATTTTTTTTTTTTTTTAACTACATAATGCATATTTTAATTTATTGAAACTTAAAATTACATGTATTGTAAGTTTATAACTTTCATAACACGACCTATGACCCTAACCCTACCTATAATAGAGATCAGTTTCATTGGCATTATAAATATCTTTGGGCTTATATTGTAAAAGTAATTCAACCAACTTTCATCTTTGATCAGCAAGGTCTTCTACGGGCACGCTTTCAGATTCTCTCTCAAGTTTATATCTTCAAAGATCATTCCTTTTTTTAAACCTACTTACTCAACCTTGGCTTGCCTTAAAATCATCTTCAGGTATATTTAATAATTCTGCAAATTTCTTGGCTTGAATTTGTAGAAGTCCATATGTTAGTATTCCATTTTGCGAGAGGACTCGTTTTGACCAAATAGCTATGGCATTTTCTAAATTAATAAATTTTGCTGATCGATTGACCTTTTTTTTTTCTTCAGGTTCCGTTAGTTGTATGGATAACCATTTTTCTTTTTCCTTCAAGATTTTTGAAATTGTGCTTCGGTCACAACTATATTCAGCAGAAAGTTGATCAATAGTAAGAGACAGAATATCACGCTTTCATTGATATATTTCTTGTTTTGTTTTTGGCGACATAGTCATTCTTTTTTTTTGTGGTTGCTCTGGTCCTTTATTCATTTTGTTTTATTTTTCGGTATTTAAATTTGTGAATTTATTTTTTTTTTCTTTTTTTATTTTATTTTATTTTTTTTTCATTTTTATTTATTGTTTATTATAGGGTATATGATTTGGGCAAGTATAATATTTCTTTAAATATAATTTTTTTAATTGTAACTTATTATCATTTTTAATTATTAATGAATCAAAGGTATGAAGGATACTTGTTAAAAGCAAAAGCCTTTTTATATTAATTTTATTCATGTTAAATATTTTTATTATACGTAGTAATAAACCCATTTATTTTTTTTCTCATGTTTATGCACAACGATAGAAGAGAACTCTTAGAAAAGATATATGAGATGCAATTTTTTTTATTATTCTATAAATGCAAGTCAATGTCTGGTCTCTACGAATTGCATTAGAGAGTTGGAGTTTAATCATTTTAGCTATATACAAATCTTTGAATCTTTTATCAGCAAATATTTTATCTATTATAATTAACATACCATATGATTTGTTTTTTTTAGGTAGTTCTATGGTTTTAAATCGCGGTTTTATGATATTGGTCATGAGAAGCTGTATTGTAAAAAGTACTATGCATGCAAATAAGCATGTATAGTACTGTACTTGGATAAAATCAAGATCATAAGAATTTTAGTATTTTACTAAGGAATATTGTCACGAATGATACTAAATTTTGAAGTCTCAATTTGACAATATAAGCCCTACCAAAATCTACATATACTTTGTACTTAAAATAGATTTAAATTTCAGCATTATTCTTAGCAAATATTAATTTTATTTATTGTTTTTTTCTTGTATATTTATACATAGAAAAGAGCCTTCAAAAGGAATTATAGCCGGTCTTTCCCCTCTCCTATCTCTCTGAATGCAATCTTTACTCTTGCCTAAATATATACCAGACTTCTAGAGATATCATTGTTCTATAAATGTAAGCTGTCAAAGTCTGGTCTCTATAGATTGCATTTAGGAAAGTTTATCCATATTAGCTATATATATCCCTTTAATCTTTTACTACAAACCTATCGAATTGATGCAATTTCTCTTTATTTTGGATTATTGTCAACATATTGTTATATAATTAAATTTTTTTAGGTAGCTCAATAGTTTTAAATCTGGGTTCCATAGTATT